AGCTGCTGCAGCAGCTGCTGCGCAAGTTTGGGCTTTAGGAGGCCACCTTGCTGCTGTTTTCCCCTTACTGAAAGGGCTCAATTTGCTGCCTTTGTTTGAAAGCAAACATGTTGCTGCTAATCTTTTCTACTTTCGCATCCAAAAACAATTAATTTGCTGCTGCTGTTCCCTATTTGCTGCTTCTGCTTGCTGCGGCGCTGCAGCAGCTGCTGCAGCAACAGCTGCTGCAGCGGCAGCAAAAAGCTACTGGGGCCCCCCAGCAGCAGGGGCCTCCCTCGTTGCAGCTGCTTCTACAAAAGCTGCTGCTGCTGCCTCTACAAAAGCTGCTGCTGCTCCCTCTATACAAGCTGCTGCTGCTGCCTGTAGACAAGCTGCTGCTGCTATGAAAGCTGCTGCTGCTGCCTCTAGAGAAGCTGCTGCTGCCCCTATAAGTGCTGCTGCTGCTGCTTCTGGAAGAGCTCCTTTTGTCCTAATACGAGCTGCTGCTGCTGCTTCTATAAGAGCTACTGTTGCTGCCTGTACAGTGCTGATGCTGCTGCTTCTATGAGGGCTGCTGCTGCTGCCTGTACACTGCTGCTGCTGCTGCCTGTACACTGCTGCTGCTGCTGCCTGTACACTGCTGCTGCTTCTGCCTGTTCACTGCTGCTGCTGCTGCTGCTGCCTGTAGAGTGCCGCTGGTGCTGCATCTATAAGAGCTAGTGCTGCTGCCTGTACAGTGCTGCTGCTGCTGCTGCTGCTGCTGCTTCTATAGGAGCTGCTGCTGCTGCTTCTATAAGAGCTGCTGCTGCTGCGTCTATAAGAGGTGCTGCGTGTGTAGAGCTGCTGCTGCTGCTATAAGCGTGTGTAGAGCTGCTGCTGCGTCTATAAGAGGTGCTGCGTGTGTAGAGCTGCTGCTGCTGCGTACACAGCGCTGCTGCTGCTGGTGAGTGGCTGAGTGGTGCTGGGAGTTGCAGAAGGAATAGCTGGATAGTTTTCTGGAGTTCAAGAGGAATTAATTTCGAGTTTAAAATTAGTTGAAGTTTTACGGAAGCAGCTGCGAAGGAAAAAGCATGTACTTGGCATTCGGAAGTTGCCGAAGCTGTTCAGTTCTTTGGTTAACTGCTGCTGGTGGTCACGGGTGGCTGCTGCTGCGCTGCAGCAGCAGCAGGAGCAGCAGCAGGAGTGGAGAACGCTTGGAGGGAAGCTTTGGGGCGCTGTGGATTCGGAAAGGAGGGAAAGGGAAAGGGCGCGGCGGCAGCAGCGGCGGGGAGCGGCGCTGCAGCAGTTCGAGGCCGCTGCTGGCGGCGCAGCAGCACCAGCTGCCGCCGCCGCGGCTGGCGCTGGCGCTGGCGCTGCTGCTGCTGCTGCTGGAGGCGGCGCGGTCAGAAAGTGCGGCGGAGAGTGTGCAATTTGGGTGAAAACGCTTCGTGGAGTCGAAAGAAGGCGTGGAGTTCGTTGCGTGGGAGCGCGGGAGGGCGGCGGCAGTGCAGCGTGCGGCGGCGCGGTGCGATCTGGGGTTGGGGCTTTACGCGTTTGGGGCGGTCCCGGGCGCTGCGTCTGGGAAAAGAAGAAAGAAGGGCAGGCGGCGGCGAGATCGGGCGGAGAATGGCGGGTTTCGCGGGGAAGGCGGGCGCGGGCGCGGGGTGTACGTACGGCGGCGCGGGCGGGCGCGCGGGCGGCTCGCGGGTGGATCTGGCGGCGGGAAGCGCGGAGTGGACGTGGTTCCGCGCGTTTCGCGCGGAAATGAACAAAGAACTGGCGTGGAAAGGCAGCCTGAGCGCGCTGGTGGGCGCGTTGCTGGGCGCGGCGTGCGCCGTGGTGGTGAACTGCACGCTGGTGGAACTCTCGGCCTCGGCGCTCTTCGCCGCCTACCTGGGCCTCGTGTTCGTCGCCGTCGGCGCCGTGCTGCTGTGGCGCATCCAGGCCACCGGCGGCGGCCCGCGGAAGCAGCAGCTGGCGCTGTTCGCCGCGCTCGTGCTCGCCTCCGGGCTGCTCTGTCTGCTGCTGCGCCGCAACTGGTTCCTCGGGCTGCACCCGCTGCTCAAGGTCCCCGCCTACACGGCGCTCGGCGTGTCCGTGGCCTTCGCGCTGGCCTTTTCCCTCGTCGACGTCGTCAACTGCTGCTTCGCCTGCTGCCAGCCCGCCGCCGCGCCGCCGCTGCTGCAGTCGCCGCAGCAGGCGCAGCTCGTGCTGCTCTTCGCCCTCGCCCTCGGCGGGCTCTTTGGCGGGCTCTTCGGGCTCCTCGACCTCCCCGACGAGACTCTTTACCAGCTGCGCCTCGCGCTGCAGCGCGAGCAGCTGCTCTGTCTCCCGCCGGGGGCCCTTTTGGGGGCCCTCGCCGGCTTCTGCAACGAGCTCCTGCGCCACCAGCAGCGGCGCCTCAGCTGCTACTCCCCGGAGTTCGACGAGGACATTTGACGGGCTGCCGCCCTGGCTAGCTAGCTCCCTACCTGCCTGGCTAGCTAGCTCGCTACTTGCCTGGCTAGCTAGCTCGCTACTTGCCTGGCTAGCTAGCTCGCTACTTGCCTGGCTAGCTAGCTCGCTACCTGCCTGGCTAGCTAGCTCCCTACCTGCCTGGCTAGCTAGCTCCCTACCTGCCTGGCTAGCTAGCTGGCTACCTGCCTGGCTAGCTAGCTGGCTAGCTGGTGCCTCGCGCTGCGGCGCGAGCAGCTCTTCTGCTGCTCCTGGGGCCCCTTGGGGGCCCTCGCCGGCTTCTCTAGTGAAGTTCGGAGGCAGCGGCAAAACTAACTCGACTACTCTTCCCCCGACTTCAACGACGCTGGCTAGCTAGCTAGCTAGCTAGCCAGCTAGCTGGCTAGCTGGCTGGCCGGGAGGGGGGGTGAGGGCGGAGTGGGGGGCCGAGGGAGGGAGCGGGTACCCCTTGGATAGCCAGCTAGCTAGCTGGCTGGTTGGCTGGTTGGCTAATTGGCTAGCTAGCTAGCTAGCTAGCTAGCTAGCTAGCCAACCAGCCAGCTAGCTAGCTAGCTAGCGAGCTAGCTGGTTGGCTAATTGGGAAGGAATGAGAGAATTACTTTTGACGGGACGTGGATGCTCTTCAGGTGTACAGACAGCTCACCTGCACCCCACAAACCCTTTCGCACTTCATTCCAAATTTATAAATATTAAATCATTAAATCATTAAATCATTAAGTAATTAACTTCGAGGCTTTCTGAGGACCCTTGGGGGCCCCTAGGGGGCCCCTAGGGGGCCCCTTGGGGGCGACTTTTGGGGGCCCCTTGGGGCCCCAGGAAGCCTCTTGGGGGCCCCTTGGGGGCCCCCAGGAAGCCCCTGGGGGCGCCCCCTTGGGGCCCCCCATGTAACCCCTGGGGAGCCCCTTGGGGGCCCCAGAAAATCATTTGGGGGGCCCCCGGGGCCCCCCCGACAGCGCCAGAGGGCCCCCCGGGGGCCCCCAGCAAGCCCCTCGGGGGGCCCAGGGGGGCCCCACTTGTGCTCTTGGGGGCCCCTAGGGAGCTGCTGCTGCTGCTGCAGTTCCTGTTTTTAAGTGCTCATTGCTTCGAATTTATTTATTTCTTTTGACAACTTTTATTTCTCACTTATAATCGGCTTCTATTTCCCCGCGACGCGCTACCCTAAGGGGGCCCCCTGGGGGTCCCAAGGGGCCCTCAGGGGCCCCTTGAGGGCCTTTAGGGCCTTTAGGGGCCCCCCAGGGGTCCCCAGGGGCCCCCAAGGGGGCCCCTGGGGCAGCAAGGAGGAGCAGCAGCGCCTGGCAGGTATACAGACAGCAGCAAATGAGATGTTGCTGTTTGGCAGCATTTGCAGCTGGCACGGAAATCGAAAAAGCAGCAGCAACAGCAGCAGCAGCAG